CATATGCGGGGTGCCCTGCTTCTTCATTTCGTTTTTTTCTTTTCTGTTTTTGTTTTTTCTGCTTTAAATAATTTGGGATTCTAAAAAATTTTGAATTCAAGAAATAATAAAATAATCATGGATTAAAAAAAGTTCATGATTTGAAAAAATGTCGCATATTAAAAAATTCACCATTTTGATTTTCTAGGAAAAACAAAAAATATTACTTAATCATCAAGTAAACGCACGCATGACATACGTTTGAGCTCGGCTCGGCTCGATCATGGAACATGATGCGTGTGGACGCAGCAAAGGAGGAGCGCGGGGGAACCACTTCTATTCTCAAGCTCTAATAGCATGAGAGAAAACCTTATAAAGGCATCTCAACTCGGCATTTCCTATTCGGCGTTGTAGGCGCCGGTTATAGCCTGTTTCCGCAAACCGGCGCCTGCAGCCGATTTAGCTGGGCCCGGCCCATTTCGCGCTCGCCTCCCGTCCAACCCGCATCTCTATCCTTCGAGGCGCAAAAAATTCGAGATAGCTGGGACTCGAACCAAAGATCTCTGGGCTCACATCACACTGTGATAACCACCCCGCCACACAAACTTTATACAGTAGTTCCATCACTTATCTTCCTCACCATCTTTACTTTCGTTTTTTTAGTTTTCCGTTTGTTTTTCATTTTTTCTGTTTTCTGTTTTCATTTTTCATTTTTTGCATTTTTCCTTCTTCCTCATTCGATGATTTTCTTTCGAATGTATCCACAATTTTTTTAAATTGATGAACCTTTTCAAATTCTATGAACTTTTTTCTAATTCATTGAACCTTTTCAAATTTGATAAACTTTTTCTTCAAATTTGATACACTTTTTTTTCAAATTTGTTGAACGTTTTCCAAATCTGAAGAACTTTTTTAAGTTCGATGAATTTTTTTCAAGAGTGATGAATTTTTCTTTCAATTTTGTGAAATTTTTTCAAACTCGCTGAACTTTTTTTCAAAATCGATGAACTTTTTTCGAAAATGATGGACTTTTTTTCAAAACCGATAAACTTGTTTAAAAAACGATGAACTTTTTTTCAAGATCGATGAACTATTTTTTGAAAAAGATGAACTTTTAGAAAAATTCACGGTTTTGCTTCATCTTCGCGAGAGGCACGGTTTTGCTTCCGCGAGAGGCACGGTTGTGCTTTCGCGAGAGTCACGAGCGTGCCTCTTTCGTAAAGGAAAAAAACGCGTTTTTTTTTCTTTTGCGAGAGGCATGGTTTTGCTTCCGCGAGAGACACGATTGTGATTTCGTTAGAGGCACGGGTGTGCCTATGTCGGAAAGGAAAAAAACCCGTGTTCCCGGTTCGGTTTTTCGTTCGGTTTTTCCGTGAAAAAATAGTTCGTCAAAACCCATCAACATGGGATCTAATTACGAAGATCTCGACGCGAGGAATCCAATGGCAAAAGCGGTTCCGGATTTGGATGCACGGTTTAAGAGATAAAACATTTTTAATAAATGGATCTACAAAAAAAGGGAAAACACCCAGGTTGCGACAAATGACGCACATGCAACAAGCCACTTGTCGCAACCTGGGAAAGTTGGAGTGATCTTCGCAAGGAGTACTCCTTAATTAGTGATTTCGCATTTTTTGCGTCCTATTATAGCGATTTTGTCTCCTACGCTTTCCATCGCGGGCCGGCCCAGCAAGGCGCTGCTGCGGGTGCCAGCTACATGTTCGGGCGCTTAGGACATGTACAATGGTCGATAACGTAGTCTTATCTTAAATCTTGCATGTAATTTAGAGATGACAAAAAAACACGTCTACAATGGGTCATTTCTTAGCCTTATCATCAATAACTAGTTATTCCTAAAAATGTGGGGAGACATATTGTGTTAAGAGATCATCTCTTGCCGCCTTCTCTTATGATTTCTCTCTCATCCACCTCATCATTTATCCTACGTGACATTAGTAAGATAAAACCATTGTACATGCCCTAAGGTGCCGAACAGGAGCTCCCTCTCAACTCTAATCCACTTGTGAGGTGGTATTAAATTTCCCACCAGCTAGTCATGGGCCCATAGAGTTTTTTTTTCCTGAAAATTGTTTTATGGCTGTAGAGCCCATCCATATTTCAAAACATGGCTCGCCAGCCGACGATCCGTGTTAACGTACAAATGTCGAGAAGAAAAAGAAAGAGCTTCACGGCGGTGTGTGTGATCCTATTTGTGTAAAAATCCAATGCAACCATAACATAATTAGAAGCATGTGTTAACCAGTTTTAATCAATCGAACTCGTTGGGAGACAGAAATGGACTTCAGCCGGTGAGAGCATCTCCACATGCGCCCAAAAACTACTCCACGCGCTAAAATTCAGGTTATTTGGACGTCGGACAGCTCCAGCGAAAGCTGTAAAATAGTGCATGCACAAAAAAGGATTGGGCACACGCTAAAAAGACCTCTCGCATGCTGCAAATTTGGGACATCGGATTACGCACGCTTCACAATTTGCACTGCGTGTTTTTTGGGCGCGCATTTTTGGGCATCTGGTAAACCAATGTTGGGCCCGACACGCTAAAAATGCTACAATGACGAAACTATTTTAGCGGGCGAAACTTTTGTGCGCCTGTTGAAGATGCTCAGAGGACTGGCTAATAGCTAGTTTGGCCAGTGCCAGATGCACAAGTCAGTAAAAAAAATGATTCAATAGGTACTTGTTTGGTTGCCCGCGTAAGGTTCAATCAGGCACGCACGGGAATAAAACGGGCTAATTGGTTGCCCACATACACTATTTGACCTGCATGACACAAACTTTAAAGCACCTCTGGGCCTATCTCACGAGGCACGCTCGAATCGGTAGTTTCTCGCAAGCCAGGCTCGCGCGAGGCACGTGGGCGGTACAGGCTGCACCAGAGGAGCCACCCCCGAGAGAAGTCGCTTTGCTTCTCGAAGCGCCGACAGTTATTACCCTCAGCTTACCTCACCGTTCTCTCTCCCCTCTCCCCTCTCCCCACTCTCACCGACGGCGGCGGCGGTGGCGTGCAGCAAATCAAAGAATAGCTAGTCGATCTCCGGCCACCTTCACCAGCATCCACAGCAGCACTTCGGCAATGGCGGTGAGCAATTTCCCCCCTTGTCACATACAACTTCGCATTCGATTCGAGTTTAGATTTGATCCACGTTAGGGGAACGGGGAATCAGAGTAAACACCATAGGAGTGATCATAACATCGTCATGACTACCAGTAGATATGAGGTTCCCGATCCAGATTGAGTACAATAGGAATGATGATTATGGTTCATCTTACATAGTTCGCACATATCATAGCCTTGGGGACCCTGGAAGCGATTGGAGCGGCGGGTGGCCTTGGTTTTGGTCTTCTCCTCGACCTGCATCACCGTCTATTCATCCTCGCCAGAGTACAACTCGATTGGCATGCTTGGGTGTCCTGGCTCCGGCGCACTCACAATCATCGCCACTGCATCTTCTTCTTCCACCTCCATAACCACCACTTCTAGATCTTCCTGCGGCACCACCACAGTCTTTGTGGTGAAGTACACCACGGCACGATGGTCACAAGGACGCCGATACCGTCTGTACTTGGCCGACTTTGCCCTCTGTCTAGCATCGCTGGAGTCAGCCTGATCCATGGCCCAATGAAGTATGTCGGCTGACATAGCGCCCTTCGCTGGGTTCGGAATCAGTGTCTTCAACTCCTCCAGCGTCCTCTTCTTCACCACAGCGTCTGACTCTTTGTGCAGCTTTTCCATGCTGCTGAAGTTTGAGCACACTTTCATGGTGTTCTCAAACTTGGTGCGGTCACCCAGCGAGCACCCTAGGAATAAAGCCCTCCATCCAATGCCCCAAGGGAAGCGGTTGGGATTGGGGTTGTACTTGTTGTTGGAGTTCATGGCGTTAGGTTGGAGGAAGAGTGAGAGACTGGGTAAGCGGTGACTGTCAAGGTGGGTTAATAAAGGGGCACACAAGCATAGGTTTTAGTGGCGATGTTGCAAAGTTCATAATACAGATGCTGACCCAGCCTTTGAACCTCTTCATAATGTAGATTGACACGGAGAACAAGGGAAATGAGGTGGTGCCATCAAAGGAGCAGGACAAGGCTAAGGATGATGTGCCACACTCAGAGATGATGCCCATCTAGGAGACGCCCGTCCAGAGCTCGACCACGGCCGACGACATGCCGGAGGTGCCACCCACCAGCAAGCGTCAAAACTACAGACACTACCATGAGGTGGGAGGGCCAACCACCTTCTGCAAGGTGATCATGCCCCCCCCACCCCAAGCTCGATGCCATGCCTATGCCGTTGTACTTCACGAGGAACTTCCCTTCCGTGCCGCAAGAGTTCAAGCTAAAGACGAACACCGACTGCTTCTGGAGTGTCACTGTCCAGCTGTTTAACAATAGGGTCACCCTCGATCAGGCTTGAGCCACATTCGCCGCCATCCATCAGATCAAGATATGCTTCATGGTGACCTTCAAGTTGCTGACTCCCGACATGCTGAAGGTCATCGTCTTCAATGATGATGACATTGAAGTGGTGACCAGGTGCGGGAGGCATGACGACACCTTCACCGTGAACGCCTAGGACAACCCCTCATATGGTCCAAATGCTTTAGTTTAATATCGAACTGCTTTGCGTTTCAACTTATCTGTTTATGTGTGGCACAATATTTATAACTGCTTAGTACTACTATCTTCTGTTCTGTGCGTGTTCTTCCTGGCGCCGCTATGTGCTGATAACCTCACCATCGCACCGAAGA